ACCATCAACAACATTCATACACACCATCTACAACATTCATGCACACCATCAACACCATTCATACACACCATCAACAACATTCATACACACCATTAACACCATTCATACACACCATCTACAACATTCATGCACACCATCAACACCATTCATACACACCATCAACAACATTCATACACACCATCAACACCATTCATGCACACCATCAACACCATTCATATACACCATCAACATTATTCATACACACCATCAACACCGTTCATAAACACCATCTACAACATTCATACACACCATCAACAACATTCATACACACCATCAACAGCATTCATACACACCATCAACATTATTCATACACACCATCAACAGCATTCATACACACCATCAACAGCATTCATGCACACCATCAACACCATTCATACACACCATCAACATTATTCATACACACCATCAACACCATTCATTCACACCATCAACAACATCCATACACACCATCAACAACATTCATACACACCATCAACATTATTCATACACACCATCAACACCATTTATATACACCATCGACAACATCCATACACACCATCAACACCATTCATAAACACCATCAACATTATTCATACACACCATCAACACCATTCATACACACCATCAACATTATTCATACACACCATCAACACCGTTCATAAACACCATCTACAACATTCATACACACCATCAACACCGTTCATAAACACCATCTACAACATTCATACACACCATCAGCAAGAACCATTCTCGTCCTAACCATCTTTTATAGACATCATACATCGTTATAATACACCATTTGACTATTATTGTCTTTTATTCAGGCTATATAGTTCAAGTCAAGTCTAAATACGTCATCGTCTGTACTCAAATATAATAGACAACACATTATCCAATACTGCATTGATAAACAAATTCGAATTTCCGCCTGTAGCCAACATTTTACAGATTTATCTGGAACTCTTTTGATGAGAAGACACAAATCACAATATGTATCATACATCCTTACGTCGCCCATCCATCTATGGTTCAATGTCTTTTATCTAGGTACTTGGAAATCAGTGGAAATCAATGTTGGAAAGTCAGTATACATACATATATATATATCGATGGCTTGCTATTTACGGAAAGACTGAATATGTGTAGGAGGTCATTACGACCTTAATGTATCCGATTTCCAAATATAATGTTGTAGAATGTCGGTAATTGATAGATACACGGAACGTGTCGCCGTCGATTGGAATCAATTGAGTTACGTTAACTTCAATTCGGTTCGATCGTTTTCTTCCGCTTATTGTCAGTCTATGGTTTCTACTTGAATCCAATCCGCCTACGTAACATTCCCCGTGGAACATGTCACACAGCTAATTAAATCATTAAAGAAAATATGTTCTCTTCTCAGATTTCCGTATGTTGATCCATACTCGTTCCAATACCTGTTCATACTCGTACCCACTGACCTACGTTGTGCTGTTTATACTCATCGCCGGTGACAAACAACGATCTCCTCACACTCCTAATGACCTCATTGATTAGTTCACACTCGTACCCACTGACCTACATTAGTATGTCCATACTCATATCCACTGACCTACATTAGTTTGTCCATACTTGGACCCACTGACCTATATTGGGCTGTTCATATTCGGACCCACTGATCTATATTGTGTTGTTCATACTCAAACCCACTGACCTACATTAGTCTGTCCATACTCATACCCACTGACCTACATTAGTCTGTCCATACTCGGACCCACTGACCTATATTGGGCTGTTCATACTCATACCCACTGACCTACATTCGCCTGTCCATAATTGGACCCACTGACCTATATTGGGCTGTTCATACACGGCCCCTGGTGACCAACAATGATCTGGTCACACACGTCCCTAGTAACCAACAATGATCTGGTCACACACGTCCCTAGTAACCAACAATGATCTGGTCACACACGTCCCTAGTAACCTATATCGATCTGTTCTTACTCGTTCTCAGTGATCGGTATGCATTTACTGTTTATCGCAATAGAATATTTCAATTTTAGTAATTTAATCAAAATAAAGCTGTGAAGTGCTTCCCAAAGAGCCGATATGATTCTATTCTTTTATAATAAGATAATTATATATATTTCTATTTTTATTTTTGGTTTAAAAAAAAACTTCCAATCTATTAAAAGCGAGTACTTTCATTCAGAAGGATATACTTGTTAATATATTCATCTGACATAAACAATTTAGAGGCAGTGACGGGTTAACAGGATTATGTCCCTTCGTCCCACAACGTACGGTATATGTATGTCTATATTTGGCGATTTTGTAACCACGGTTGTCATTGGCTGTTTGTTGTTGTGTGTGTTTTCATTCATAGAATCACGATTTAAAAGTCTGATCGACAGGTCACTGAGGTCATCCGTGTGTAAGATACTTTTAAATAGACACTGACGAAAGTGTCACAAACCACAAACAAAGGACATTCCTGTGTTTCCGGTAGCTGTATGTAATACATGGAGTCTATTTTATCACACACTTTAAATAAAAGTCCTTATTGTAAGAAAGTAAATAATTGAAATTTTTCTTTCCGAGGACGTATCATATTGATAATGCACACATGTAAAATTCACAAGAACGTAACGTGTTGAAATAATACAATGACTTAATTTTTGTCCTAAAATTTTACGAGGGATCTCATTCATAAGTGAAGCTACATTGTGTGCGCTAAGTGTTTTGCACTTGTCAGTATGAGATGAGGGATGTTTTCGGTTTTCTCTGATATCATTGAACTACCGAGGTTCCAGGACAGATGTAATAAATCCAATCTAAAAAGCTATCCGAATGAAAATGTAAATTTCTGTGTATAGATAAATCCTAATTTTGTCAATATTTGTATCTATATTGTCATAATCCCAGAAACATGTTCACGCAATGTCGATGGCCGAAGTAATATATAAAAATTATCATCCCCATCTGTTTCCAACAAATTGATGTTCAGAACCATTATACGTAAAACATTATATACCAGATTTATATTTAGTGTTTACTGTTACAAATGCGAAGTACAGGTACTAAATTAAAGAATTTATTATTATTCTTAGGTTCATGTTTGGTATCCAATTTCATTTCCAAAAGTTTTGTGTCGTGGCGTCATAATCTAAGGTTGTTTAATTTTGTGTCGAGACGTCATAATCGAAAGGTTTCCGATTTCTGGAGACGCGAGTTTCGCCATTGACAATCAAAATCGGTCAGTGTTTTAAAACTCAAAATTAATGTTTGTTGCTTTGCTATAACTCCAAGAAAATACCCTGGTTAAGACTCCACGAGGATCTCAGTACTCTTTCAAGTCTACCAGACATGCAATACAACTTAAGTGTTGTCAATTATGTATTTTGCTCATAAATTGAAATAACAATAATAATCATAATAATTAATGATTGAAAAGTAAAAATATGAATTACCAGTTTTGATAAAGAAAAAATCATTGAGTGAACATATCATTATATGTAATATCATATATACGTATCAAGAAAATGAGTTAGTGCCCTTGATTGAGAGTATTATGGGCAGTAGTGGCAATGGCCAAGCGAACATTGAAAGAATAAGCTCGGATTATAATTTGGCAAATGGAGTTACGTCACTGATGCAATTAGGCAGATACGCCCTCCTTTTTATTAGCATACTTGAGCGTGCGAGAGATTAAAGATTTCCAAGGCCACAGCTGGAATAGCGATCATTAGTTTATACATGTATGTGAGACTTTAACCCTCGGCGCTTGAATTAATCCAAACCCTCACTTAATTAACCGCTTATAAGATTTCTTCTAATGTCTTTTAAAACTAATTATGGAAAGATCGAAGTCAAACTTTACTCGAGAAATGGAGCCTGGATATTAGGCTTAGTTAATTCAAAGTGACATTACAACGGGCATTTTAATCTTTAACATTTCACTGTTGTTTAATGGAGTTGGAAAAAAGACGGCATTCATCAACATCAACATCCACACCCATCCATTTTATAATGTATATATTTTGAAAGACACTAAAAAGGGTCATTAAATCAAACTAAATATTTAGGTGAAACGTCATTCCTTTCCAAAATAATTTTTACATTGATATTCACTATACATAAGACAATATCTTTGACTTGCTAATTAATTCGTTAATTAATATCAATAAAAACATTTGGAATTCTGACGTACTTATTGAAGAATTTCAGTCTGAAAGCTGTACTAGTTATGTAATTGTGGAGCTTGGTATTAATGTGTTAAATGTATACCAAGCTGGAGAAGTATACATTTACAGCTTGTTAACCGTGATACGTAAATAACAAGTAAATTAATCAGCGATCTTAATTAATCTCCTTATCCAATTAATTAGCACACTGTGTTGTTTAAATAAAAATATACACACAGTACAGGTCCTATAACTAATGTATTATTTCGTTGTTGTAATTATATCCTCCGCAATGATATCGATATCGCATAGAATGACCTTTGAAGCATGCAATATTAATTAATTGATTGGTATGCTAATTCAAACATATTCGATCCGATGATGATACCCATTAATTGCAGACGTTTTATGTAAACGAACTTGTTTGACGAATAAACAGCGCCCCTTTACTGTCGTTGATTTTGATGACACAAAAATTATCCTGTTACATACCATTTATATCCGACCTATGACAAATTGCAATGCAAAAGCGATTAATGACAAATAAAATGCCGCCTTTCCTTGATCTCCATTATATATGTGCTTCATTTAAATTTATTATTAACAAAACAGCGTTTACATACCAATACAGTTATAAATAGTTCCTGACCTAGTTGTGCCTGTCGTGTATAACACGTTTGTACAAGTTCGTTTAATCGGCCCTAGGGTCTGATGGGCTTCCATACTTGATGGTTGACGTCGACCAATCAAATCAGTTTTCTCATACGACTTCGGCTCATTTGGCCTATTACTCATTGACGGTGTAAGCGCACACAGGTAATAACCCAAGTGGTCGGAAGAAGTGGAGGAGACGGAAAACTCGCTGTGTTTATACATGGGATAAAACTATGTGAAAACGTGCTGTCATTTCATTTCAACTGGATAGTTTTGTACAAGGAAGTTTACTTCGTTTTTAAAATGGCTAGATTTAACCCAATTCCATGTCTAGCTTGTGTTTTACTGTGGTCGTTGAATGTTTTGGGAGACAGCTCTACGGAAGATCACCGTTGTCACAAAGTTCAACGTGAATTTATACACAAAAGGATAGGTTCCTCTACTTTAGTTCCAAATAATCCCATTCATGGTAAGTATGCCAGAAAATGGCCAAAACAGATACCTGTTTTGTGATTTTAATTACAGCCTGCTGATAAAAGTTTACTGTGTGTTTCTTACCTGCACGTTCAGGTGTACCTGTGTATTGCCTTACTAAACAGGTATAACTAGGCATCATTCCACTTGTCATATTACTCGAAATTTATAACAGTTACCGTAATTAACATGATTAAAATGTTAATGATTCTTAATTCAAATTATATATTTTATGACACAAAATATAGGGAGTGCACATCATTCTTAGGTTTTTCAACAGTTTGTCCATTTTTGGTATTTGTAGCGAGACATTTATTAGACTTAAGTGTCCTGTTAATTTGATATAATAGACAATGTTCAGAATGTTGTAATGAAGAAGTCTCGGTCAGATATACTAATATTAGATCATCTTCAACATGACTTGACACTATACTTTCCATTTATTATCATGATGGTTTTTGTCAAAATTTTTTTAATGTCATAATTTCTTGAAATATTGTAAATTTTTGGTTAATACCATATTTCTCGAAACACTGTATATTTCACTTAATTACACATATCATATTTGTATTTTTCACAAGATTTTTTGGTGTGAATAGTAATTTTGTATTCCAATACAAAATTTTTAAACTTGATAAAAAAAACAGCACTTGAGTTCAGTAATTGTCTAGGATATGTTATATTTATCTATGAATTGAATGGTACAAAAAAAATGTCCAAAAACAGTTGAAAAAAATAATAAAAGGAAAATAGTATAAAATGTCATTTCTTTCATAAGAATCAGTTATCTGTAAATTCTGATAATTCCTAGTCCTATATCTGAACGTATATGTCAATAATCTGCTGGTTTAGTTACAAATTTTATATACATTAACTATAATATTTGAACATCAAATACAGAGTATTGGGAGAAACAACTAATGACATTTGATCCAGTAGGTAGCAGAATTATAAGGTGTTGATTCCGTCCGAGGATAACTTATACTTAAATACTGCTTACGTATGAAACAGCATGACCTTTTATGCTTTGTCCGAACATAATCCAGTTCACTGGAAAGATGAAAGAGCATCATGCTGGTGTCATTTTCATTTAATGTATTCTAGTAGACTTCCTGCCTCGTTATCCAAGGTATACTATCAGTGTGTGGACAGGTAAAATGTAGATGGGGGGGGGGGATGCCTCTGATATACATTTCTTGTATATAAGAAAGTTCATCTATGTAACAATCATTGTTTTCTGTTTTATAAGAAACATCATCTACCGAATCATTGTCCTGTCTGATATCAGACACGTCTGTTCAGTTATCAACATGAAAAACATCATGCTGTGTCATCAAGTGGATTCATGTAATGGTCCAGACCAAATTAAACAGGGGCCTGAAATTGGTGGTGAATTTTCAGTCTGAAGCGGTAAACATATTGCTGAGTGAAGTGGGGTATACTTAATGTACGATTAAACTTTTTAAACACAGAAAGTTTCTTGCCCAGTAGGAGAAGGAAGGGGGTTTTAAAGGGGTTGAGAGTTGGGTTTAGGTGGGGCTTCGTTTTGGTGGGGTTGGGTTTGAGAGGGAGTAAATAATTGAGGGGGTTTGAGTAGAGGATGTGTTTGGGAGGTGGTTGTATGGAAAGACTTGGTTTGTAGGGTGCTATGAATAGATGCTGTGTATGACAGGTGGTTGTAAGGAGATGTTTGGTTTGAGACAGGGCTATTAGTAGTGAGACTGTCGTTGGGAGGTGTCTGGTTTAAAATGTGATTGTTGGCAAGGGTTGGGTTTAATGTGATTCTGGATGGGGGATATGTTTGGGAGGGGTTTGTCGGTAGGGGTTGGATTAGGGAGGGGCTAACATGTAGGGGTTTGATTTGAGAGGGATTTGTGGGAAGGGGTCTGTTTACTGGACTAGCTGTAAGTAACTTTTTTTTTACATAAAATTGGAATTGGAAAAGCAGCATTCTATAACACCAATAATGACCAGTTTTAAACACTAGCCCATATATGTAATGCTCCATGCATATGGCTGACTTTGCTGTTCCAGTGAGCCCTGACAATTTCTCTACAGCTGTTTTGCGACATCTGTTAGTAGTTACCGTAATGTGTTTAGGGACTGTGATGACGGAACTAGAGTACTCTGTATTGTTAACTGGTTTTAGTCTAGTGGACAAACATTTAGATGACTTTGTCTGATGGTTGATAATGTACTGTAAATATAGGTATTCATGACATACTGTGTAATCAATTGATTTCTGATTTAAGGTTGCTTTATGTGACCAAGTTGAAGTTTCATGTGTTTATTATTCAACAACAACAAAGGTGGCAGCATACACTGCAACATACAAAATACCAAATTTATGTTAGAATACAGCTTATACAATTTCAAACTGCTAGTATATCTATGTTCTAAAGCTACAAGTTATCTAATATGAACAAGCTGAACCATTACAATTCTATACCTGAACATATCTAGTACATGCATAACCTGATGAATATTTATGCCGGCAGTTAATATATACTATAAACATCAGCTATATTGCACCTGTAACAAGGTCATACTACATTTGACCACCTTACATTGACATGCCTAGAACCTGACTGCATGATGCTATTGGAGATCTACAATATCCATGACAGCATTTAGTACTACCTGTATTACAGTACAGTGTATCGAGGAAATTACCCCTAATGAGGGACATACCTTATCCTAGCTCAACATACAACTTAAGAACAATCTATTTATATGAACCGATCAAATACTAGAGCGGAATATACTAAGCTGTAAACTTGAGAGCTTATCTACTCTTGGATATGTCATCGATTTACAACACACTACGATAGAACATCGAAAACACTAAAATATTAAGAATAGTGCAACTGTCAGCTAAAATATAGTTACAGTGGTTAACAGAGATTTATCCTACATCTAAACCCGTTTTTCTGAGACCACGCTTCGGCATATGTCCGGTTACACTAATGACAAGATAATATCCGCCGGAACTGACCGCGGGAGTACATACTAGAATCCGGAAAATACTGACCGGATCATGCTATTACAATAGTAAATAAGAAATAATATAACCTGCTCACATTTATGTATTGTTGAACAATATAATTCTCTGTTTGTGATGTGTACTTTGTATGTTTTAAAGTCAGAAAACAATAGAATTTCTATTTAACAAATGAAACTTGGATTTGTTAAAAGAATGAAAACTCAGACTTCAGATTTCTGTGTGAAAAGTCAGTAATTTAGAAGTTTGATCATCATAAATTTTTTGTAGAAAAATGTAAATCTTCATCTTGAGAAATAGCTTGTCAATCTTTGAGGTCATCATGAAGCCTGGCCTGAACAAATAAAATTTTTTGTTAAAAGTGTATTACATTTTATGTTACAGATCCTTCTGTTTCAATATGTTTTAATGGTGCAAGAGACAAAGAAAGGAAGTCCTGTTGTACCAGCCAAAGTGAACAAAAATATGTGATTGCTTCCGAAAAATATTTAAAAACAAGCATTCGGACAAAAAACGCATATTTGAAAAAGTTACTGTTGGACCATATCTCGCAGTATGAAGGTAAGTAGTTTCTTATTACTTAACATGGCTGATTGTCTAGATGCACTCCAGATGGATTACTGTAAAATAATTTAATGTAGGTCATGGGTGGTCACTGTAGACAGGTAAGATTCCGGCTTGTTCTAGACACCCTGAAGGAAAAGATATTTAATGCAGTTGTCTTGTACAGTTGACTTTTAAGAGTATAAGAAAAAAATTATTCAAGAGAAAACAACCATTTTATGTTAGAGGTAAATGTAACATTTGTTTTTTACTAGACTTTGATGAGGTGACATAAAAATGATTCCATATGTTATATATAGTTTGAAATTTTAAGGTGCCTGCCATTATCAAAAGTGTCAAATTTATCTTAACTTTAAAACTTGTGTAGGTAAAATTTTTGTTCAAGTTGTTCTGGTTGGTGTTGGCAGCAAGCCCAGGCAACTGTTATCTCTATACGTTTGATACAAGCACACTGCATAGTAGTAGTGTTACATAAACCATGTAATTGTACGATCCACATGCATTTCGTTATGTTTGTATTGATTACTGACAAAGTTAACAGTTTGTATCCTGTAAGTTTGTCAGTAGTCTAGATCACATTCTTTACATTCTCTATATAGGTTTTAAAAGGTCGTTTAAAGAAACGTTTATTGACATTTTTTACCAATGAAAAATTTTATAGTGTTATATGCGTCGCATACTTCAGGCCTGATGTATGCACTCCCTCTTGATACCGCCCCAAGCTCAGGGACTTTGTGTATACTCATGGATGTCACTTTGAATTGAAAATGAGTTCATGTACACACATATAAATGTACCTGAAAATCAGAATGTTTTCTTCGTTGATCAAGGACATCAGCTGTGGAAATCTCTAATGAAATTATTTTTAAGAAATGCAGATGTGAGTTACACTGGGTGGTAGGCCTATGTAGCGGTAGGATGTAAAACTTGGGGCCCTGTGTGTGAAGTATTATTATTAGATATAAGTATTGTAAACGTCCCTGGGGTGTTGATGTACTGGTATTAATGGTGCAAAATGGTGGAGAGAGTCACATGGTGCTTTGTGGATTTTAAAAAGTTGATGCTGATTGTAATGGTGGTGGTCGGAGTTGGAGTAAAGACAGTTTGATTTAAAGCTTTCCAGTCCTCCTGTACCCTGTTGAGATTAAACTAACTTAATAGCTAGGGTGGATTGGAAGGAACTGTGCCAGTAATTACTTGTACCCTATAGGAAATGTTCAGAGTGGGAAAATCATGGGGAGGATTGTTGGGGAGGGGAGGCTGGTTTCAGGTCTTATGTTCTTATAGTTACCAAAGTGTATGATACCATATATGAATACATTTAATGGTAGGATTGGGAAGGTACAGTGGATTAGATGTGGGCAGTGTTATTAGATACCATACTTCTGAATATGGAGGTGGTGGTGGAGGCAGATGTTTATGGTGGGACTAACCGAGTAATCTGTTCTCCATACGAAAGTGTAGAACAGAGGTAGAATTTCATGTAATTGAAAGTGAATTAACTTTCCCTCCAATATAACCCCCCCTCCCCACAACCTCATCAACCTCCCCCATCCCAATATTACACCCAACCTACCCCTTCATCATTCCTGTGTTTTATGTAGGATTCTGTGGAAATCCAGATTGTTTACTGATGTGGAAGGGACTCTAAGTTGTTTATGATAGAGGGTTTGGTATCTTCTTTTATTCTCGGGATGAAAAATAGATAAAACAAATCTTTGTTCTTAATCAGAAAATTTTGTCATATAAGCCATTAACCATCACAAACTATTACATCTGTGAAATAGAAAAGTACATTTATACATATAAGATATTGAATAGTGAAGGTAATTCAATTTAGGTATAAAAATACTCTCCCATTTCTGTATTTGATTGAAGCCATAGATCGTGTAGCTGTTAATGAATTGTAGGATAAGGCAATATAATCAGGTTTTATCATCTTTCCCGGTAGTGTATAGCTATTTGTTATATCGATTTCTCCCTATTTATTCCGGTATAAATACTGTTATACGATTCCAGTCTCAACTGTAAGCTTGTGTAGTCTTTACGTAATCTCATAAAAGTAGGCTTGATTGGAATAATGTCTTTCATAATTGTGCCACAAGTACCATAATGTCTAAATATAACAGACACTATTGTTTTGTGTCTGAAAGAAGATTTGATATAATTTTCTGAATTTTTCAAGAAAAAATGAGCAGAGTGTGAAAGCTAGCATAGAACTATGGGAGTGCACATATAACTGTAAGGTAAACCTCAAAAAGTGGGAAGTTTTGAAATGATTAAATAAATAATACAAACACAGTGGGCATTCTGTCAGAATTCTGTGTTCTTAGAGTTTCATTTATAGCAGCTCTGGGTCATGATTATATATTCTGAGATAGAAGTGTTCTGGATTGGAAGGCAAATAATGTTATCTTATATCATATCTATAACAAAGAAAAGTATTAAAAAATGAACTGTTGATTTAAATTTTAAGTGATTTTTTTTTAGGAAGTGTTTGTAAACCACTTTTGGAAATGTGTAGACAGCTTCTTATGGTGTATTGCATTAGGGAATTTTAGTCTGATTGAAGGAACTTCTGTTGTGAAAGAATTAGGGAACTTGGGACCAGTATGGCAGCTTCTGTTATAGACGAACAAGGGAATTAAGGAGCTTGTCAGTCTTTAGAAGCAATACTATAATTACCTTATGATGACAAAGGCTTTCTTCACTGTACAAACACATAGACCAATTATACCTGATAATTGCTATGTTTTCTTAAGGCCCTATTAGCTATAATTAAATAAACGGCTGCCTTTTAAGAACAATGAAAGCATATAAGAATAAGTTAGCCTATGTTTTTGTAACAGCCCCCTATTGACCAGGATTCCAGGATCTGCTAGACATTTTTTGTTGATTTGGAGGCGACATATTGGCTAGAATCTGGTGCCAAGTTTGCACATTTATTGGTTATTATGAAACACAACTTCACATGACAGCTTGGCTTCAATATATTATCCAGACGTCTTCATAAATACATGTAGGCTGTAGAATGATTGGTTATGTTGTATCAGGGAAAAATAAAAGTGAACAACTTGGTATGATGGATATTTGTTATAATTGGAAATCTTCAGAAAATGAAAATGAAAGTACAATGTTATTAAGATTGAAATAAAACTCGATTACGGTTGATTAATTTTTATAACCTTTAACATGAGCACGCAGAAACTCAAGTATCAACCAAAAGCAAAACTTCTGTGAAATTATCTTGAATTTAATCAATGTTTCTATTGAAAAAATTATGTGAAAATATGTCAGTCTTATCATGTATGAAAAATGTCAGGTAAATATATAATCTGTTATCAAATCTTGTTATTAAGGTTCTAATAAATTAATTTTATAGGTTTCATTGATTGAGCACATTGATTGAGTAGTCTGACTTTAATGTATATTCTACACAACCTGCCACACAGGTATACATAAACTGGGCTAATTTTCATCTCTGAATTCCTTCAGCTCATTTTAGATGTATAATGATATCAAATAAATTCCAGTATATATTTAATAGAGAGCACGCTCGTTTCTTAGGGTGACTGGACCGTGAAGAAATATTTAAAAATGATAATAAACTTTATGTTGGAGAAGTAGACCAGAACAGCCATAAAGTACGCTATAGTGTAGAAGCCTTGAGCTACCTTCATAGATCTATCATATTTTTTTTTTCTTTGATGAAAGTGTTTTCAACTTCCGACATACAGCTGGAAGGCAACACTAGGTATAATACTTAAAACGATGGCTGTACAACACCTAATTAATGCACCACACAATATGGCTTTGTGCTATTTTTAATGACAATTTTGTTTTAGTAAGTGTTGGGACAAAATTGAATAACACATAAATAGCATCATGGAAACATGAGCTGTTTCCTAGACACAATGCAGTTTCTGTTAACTGGGTTTATCACCATGTTGTATAACCAGGATCATTTTGAAGTGACATCTCACTGTATAGCTGGTGGCTAAATAACTGAACAACATGCAGGAGGGCTGGTGCATGTTATCCAGGGTTATTGGAGTAAAACTTCTTGCCCGAGGATACAACCGTTACAGTACAGATCTTGATCCCAACTTCAAGAGAAAGAAACCACCCAAAGCAGCAATGAACAAGAGCACATAACATGTACCATGGCAATGGACAGCAGCTTATTTCAAATGTACCTATATGGCAATGTACAGCAGCTTATTTCAAATGTACATATATGGCAATGGACAGCAGTCTATTTCAGATGTACATATATGGCAATAGACAGCAGCTTATTTCAAATGTACATATATGGCAATGGACAGCAGCTTATTTCAAATGTACATATATGGCAATAGACAGCAGCTTATTTCAGATGTACATATATGGCAATAGACAGCAGCTTATTTCAAATGTACATATATGGCAATGGATAACAACTTATTTCAAGGTCATGAAATGATGAATATTACTGTATATCAATTGGTACAACTATGTATATGATTCAGAAGCAGTTTTAGATATTGAAAACAGTATCAGTAGAAAGCTTACATAAAGGTAACTTGACCTGTACTTTTATAAAGAAATGTCCAGCTACATTATTTTATTAGTTTATCTCCCCTTAGTTTGAAATTTTTGGTCTCTAGAGTCAGATACATCCAAATGATCAAAGTCTCTTTTCTTCTTTATAGTTCAAGGTTGTTGAGACTTGGGCTTTTCTTAAGCGGACTTGTCATCCTGAAGCTGAGATTCTCAAATATTATAAAAGTATGGGATCGAATTGAAAAAGTTTATATAAAAAATGGGTGGTAATTTTATATACTAAGGTACAACATTTGCCTTGAGCTCTACACACATGTGTATATACCTTAGTAGGATACATGTTGTATGTAAACAGGTAACACTAGGTACAAAGTATGTGCTGCCACCTGTTGGCAGACAATGTTGGGTTACCTTACAAACAAACATATATATAATGTGTATTTATGATTTTATCT